ATATTTAAGTTTAAAATTTTAAAATTATTGAGCTGTCTCGATGCTTAGCTAGTATATTATATTCTTACCTCTCTTTAACTTAACTCCATTTAGATACGAAGGCTGAAAAATGTGAAAAAGAAGAAAAACATTTTTAATTATTCAGAAAGATGAAAACATTGCAAATTAAGCACAAATTCTTTACACTTTTTAATGCTCAGTGCCCACACTTCCCTGGGGCACGTGAAATTCAGAAGATGGTAGTATGCTGTATGTTCATCATTAAAATTACTGTACCAATGTACAATTTTTCCACTTGGACAGACCCAAATTTTCTTTCTTCTTTTTTTTGTAAAAGAAAGAGAAAAATATTTACTGAATCCCCACTGCCAGACCCAGAGAGAGAGAGAGAAGTCATGTCAATGACAGCTTACTACTGGGTATGGCATGGGATGGCATGGGAGGAGTGTCTGCAGGACAGGATCCAGACAACAGATAGCTGAGAGAAATACTGGACTGAGGAAGGGAAAGAAGACAACAAATTTGAGAGAGAGGAGAGCGTGGTGTAATCATTCCATGGAATTTGAGATGATTGATGATAACCTGGAAACCCGGCCATCCAATCCATGTTACATGTTTTCTTCTTTTTCTTTTAACCCTTCTTTATCCCCGTATCATATAGAAATAGTATGAAGATTACACTTTTGCTGTGACTCGTGAGTTTCAATAAGTAAAAAGTGAAATTGGCTGATATACATCAAACCTTTACGTCCCACTCAAAGCCTACCCATATTTTTGCTGTTCCCCTTTTTCATGCTGCGCCTTGCGCGAAGAGCAAACTGGTCCAAAATCACCTCATTTTGATTTGCACAGATGGTGATACAATATTCCCTTCACTTCACCTCTTCACAGATTACACTGCTAACCACTAATTCGATCTTTCTTTTTTCTCTTTTTATAATATATAAAAAAAACATATTGAATCTTGGTAATCGTCTCCCACTGTCTAATTCAAAATCTTTAAAAAAATTTAATAATTCAAGATTGTATGATGATTAAGGTTTTAAGACAAATTATGAAAACGGAAACAAATTTAAACAAATTTTTAGATTTTTACTATATTTAATTAAATTTTTATATTTTTATTTCGAATCAAGTAAGTTTTTATATTTTAATTTTAAATCAAATAAATTTTTATAATTAATAATTGATTTAACTAAAATGACATATGTCATTGTATGTCATGCAGCACTAATGTGACATATTAATATATTTTAATTGATGATAACATAATATATTAATTTAGTATAATAACATGATCGTCTAATATTTTTTACATTTCATATCAATATCATGTCGGTATTATGTAAATATAGAATGACAAGTGGTATCTTAACTAATGATAATTAATCAATTAATAGTTATAAGAGTTTATTTGATCCAAAATAAAAATACAAAGCTTGATTAAACACAACCGATGAATAAGAATTTATTTAAATTTTTTTAAATAATTTAGAGGTTTATTTAAAAATTATGTCATAACAGATTAATCGGTGAAAATTTATTGATTATGTCTTGCAAGTTATACCCAATGTGGGTTAATTTTGTTATATCAAAACAATATTCAAATTGGGAACGGCAATTAGGATTCATAGATTTTCTTATCTCATAGCTTTACCGGCTCCCTTTTATTCAAAGAATTTAAGCCTTCCAAATTCCAAGTTTTACACAGCTCGGTGGGTGTCTATTTGAGGATAGAATTTAAGATTTTACAAGGGGAAAAATCAAGGAAAAGAGGCATTTCAACCAGAATTTGCTTCAACCCATCTATCAAAATATATCTAGAAAACTTTCAAAATATATATATATATATATATATATATATATATCTATCTAGAAAGAACATATACATGAAATAGAACAAAATTACAATGGTAAGTGCATATAACTATTCAAAATTTTTAGAATCTGTTTTTTCCCCCCAAAAAATTATATTTGAAAACAAAAAGGAGTTTCACGTTTAATGGCAAAAATTATTAAATAATATTGCAAATTCTGACGTCCTTTAATATAAAGTTTGATGGCCTTATACAGTTATACTATAATAGATTTCATATATTAAAATTTTGCAAGAAGAAGGTGATTAAAACACTATTGCAAATATATTATTTTTTGCAACATAACTATTTTTAGCATCTCGTAGCAATTCAAATTTCATAGCATTTTGCAACAATTGAAATTTTTGAACAAATTTGGTAGTAATATTTTGAATTCGTTGTACACACCGGCTAGGAAAGAAAAAGAAAAGGCCCAAAAATAGGTAGGTATTTGTAAAGCTAGAAGTAGTAGCAAGGCGATAAAATAGAAGAAATCCCAAGTGACATAATGGCCACCTATAAACAGAGACAAAAATGAAATGATGGAGTTTGCCACCCCCCCTATCTTCCCCATTTAGGGCCCATTAACTAAACCATAATTTACTAACATTACTTTAATTTTTAATTTTTTTTAAAATCGAAAACCACCCCCAAAAAGGGTTACTGCAAATTTTGCTACATATTATTCCCACATAGTACGTAACATTATGACGTCATGGCTACGTTTGTCTCACATCAGCTTCAACACCTCCAAAAAAAAAAGGGAACAAAGGAATTACCATTGGTTTTTCCTCTCTTTAGTGTTAAAAGTGTTTAACTGTATCCTTTGGTAGTCCAAAAGTTGTTTAAGAAATTATTCTCAGCTGTTTTTATATATTTTTCATATATTATTACATAATTAAAGCACGCTATAAATTAAGCGATATCAACCTAATTAATTAAATTAAATTAAATTAAATATTTTACTTTAAAATCGACTTGTTTTTGTTCTTTGAAAATTGTGGGACTTGATTAGAGAGGAAAAGAAAATGACGTTAACAGTTATATTATAATTACAGCGCCTGCCTTCTTCTGTCAGGCTGGATGTTAGACACAAAGTTACCACATATATTTAGCAGTGCCCAAATTAAGAAAAGCTGTTTGAAAAGGAAAGGCTATCCTTTCAAATGGATACTCTCTAAAGCATTGAAAAATCGCTGATTTAGTATTAGTTTTGGTTTTAGATTTAAAGTTCACACACATCCATGAATTGTCTTAAAAATAATAATTGTTTCAACTTAATTTTTAGTATGTTAGAGAATTTAAAGTTAATTTTATAAACAAAAATGTCAGTAATAAACATAATAATCAATTAACCCAAAAGGAAAATAAAAAGTAAATCCAACCCCACGGTTAGAGTTGTTGAAAATTGAGTGAAAATTTTGCTTAGATGAATTTCTCAGCACCAACAAAAAATTTCTCTAGACATTAGCCAATTTTATTTATAAAATTTTACAAAATGTATAAAAAATAAATCATAATTTATATTGATTTTTTTTAGTTCCTTCAAATATTGGTTCAAAATTTTTACAAAGTAACCAAAACTCTAGCCTTTGTGACAACATGTAAAGAATTTATTTTCCATTCTTTTAGAATTAATTCTATCTAAATTGGTTCGATGCTCTCGCCAATGCATGTATTTAAGAAGGAAGTATTAAGGAGTCAAATAATATAAAAAAAATTCAATTCAAATTTCTATCCTTCAAAGAAAAATCAATTAAAAATAAATTAAAACAGCATCTAATTATTGTTTTCTCTTTTGCATGATATACATAACTACATCATTATAGGCTCCTTTTGCACATGAAGATTTTGATCAGAAAACTACAACCTTAATCTATAACATGTCTATGATTTTTAACCATCATATGCCTACACGCACGCTACTCATTATTTTCCAATAAATGGGAGTTGATGATTTTACTGAAATTTACCATCAAAAGTACCCACATTAACATAATTGTTGAATAATAGAGAGATAATTAATCACAATGGTCGGATTGCTTGTTTGCTACAATCTAAATGATGATAGCAATTGTGTGGCCCACACAATGAATATTATACTTGGGAAAGAATTGGAAAAGTAATTATAATTACCCATGGATTATTATTATGTTAAATTGAAGAGATGATGATAACAATATAATGGGGGTGGGTTTGGAATTTGAGAAATGGTGGGTAGAGAGAGAGAGGTGGGGTTGGATTTTGGTTTTGGAGGAAGTATATGTATGGAAAGTGAAATAGCAAAAGGGGAGCTGAGAAAAGGTGAGAAGCTTTTTTTCTGCCAAAAGTCAAATAGGGCCTCTTTCATCAATCATAATGATATCTTCACCGCTGATTGCAGAGGGGGATAGATTTGCACCCAAGATTCATCATCATTGCCCTTGATATTTTCTTTTCTTTTCTTTGTTTTTTCGCTTTTTGGTTGCTAAAAAGAAACCCTAGAAAGTTAAATTATATGCAAAAGAAACCGTAGAAAATGACAGAAAAAATATGATTCTGGTGAATGATAGTTTATAATTTTCTTTTTCACTTCTTATTCTGATGCCCGATTATATATATTTAAGATTTCTCTATCTATTAATTGTTGTGTACTCAAACTGTTTTCTCTTTTTCTTTTGCTTCACCTTGGAGGTGTAGGTTTAGCCAACTTTGATGACAACCGAGTGCATGGATTTTCCATGCAATTCTTAGCCAAAGAAATTAAGCAGCTGTAAAATTAACCAATTTGTCGCCTATTGTTGACCTCCTTGACACAGGAAAATTCCACTAACAAATGAGACATGAAATTTCCATGCTTTTGAGGTCAAAAAGTAACATGCCTTGCACTATACATATAAATCTAAAAACCCAAATTTGCTGATCAATAAAAAGTCCAAGCAGATAGTAGCATGTCACGGTTTATACCTTCCACTCCCACTTTTCTTTTTCCTTTTACATTTAAAATTCGAGATAAAAGTTCAAAAATGAAGGGTTGGACATGAAACAAATAAACAATACCCCTTTATGTAAACTCCATGATTTCTTATAGCTAATAAATATTTAAAGGATCTTTTTAGGTTCTAGCAAGTACTAGTTTTTTTACATACAGAGGGAAAAAGGAGAAAGAAGAGCCAAAAAGAAAAGTGGTTGGCCACACTAAAGGTATTTGGTTCCTGTTTTCATTTCATAATAAAATCTTACCAGTATAATTCTCTTTGTCTATCTATGATTCTATCCTACAAGTTTGAGAGAGACCCTCCACGAGTTCTTTTAATCTAGAGTCCTTCTATTTGTAGTAGATAATCTAAAATCCCTAGCTAACTACCCAAGTTTTTCTCCTATATAAAAGGAACCGAGAGCTAATTCAATTTGTTTCTGATCTTCCACAAGCCTCCAGAGAGATAGAAACTAAAGAGATGTCATCAACCTCCCAAGCCATGCTAAACCAAGGCTTGTTTGAGGAGCAAGAGATGCCTACTCAGATGGGTTTCTTCGCTTTTCCTCCAAACTTGAGTTGCCCAGCTCCATTGGGTTGCCACCCATCTCTCAAAGCCTTCAGTCTAGAATCAGCTGATGCACCTTCTGCTGCTAATCTAACTGAAACCCTACTCTCATCTGCCACCACTGCAAAGCATAGAGATGACCCTGGCTCTGATTTTGGAGGCCCCCAGCTCCTTTCCTTGCAGAGATCTAGTGCAAATTTCTGGTAAAAATATCGCTCTTTTACAATAATAATAATCATGCAAAGATTCATTTGGTTTTCTTTCTTTTATTTTTTCCTTCCTTTTTCTTGGTTTTATTCATTTCCATCTTTCTTCGTTTTCTTACCTTGCATGTAAAATGAAATAGTAAGACTTTATTGAATACTTACTAATTTTGTTCAATTTCAATCACCCAAGAAAAAGAGGAAAAAAAAGTTTGGTTTCCATGCAGTGCAGATATATCTCCTTGTATATCTTAGTAAATGATATTGGGGTCTCGTTTGATATGTTTTTAGGGCCTGGGGAGAGGTAAACGAGTGTTTGGGAAGTAAGAAAATTGGTGTAGATGATCATCTAGGCGTTTCAGCAATGAAGATGAAAAGGATAAAAGCAAGGAGAAAGGTGAGGGAACCTAGGTTTTGCTTCAAGACCATGAGCGATGTGGATGTGTTGGATGATGGATACAAGTGGAGAAAGTACGGCCAGAAAGTGGTAAAGAACACCCAGCATCCCAGGTATGTTAATTGCACATTCAAAAAATAATAATCTCTTTTTTTTTTTTTTTTTGCTTTTTAACACTTAAATCTCCATGAAAAAGTTACTAACATTCACATGAAGTTTTTAGCCTTAGTTGTACCCCATACACATGCTATGTTTCCTTCCTTTTTTTTATCATTTGTTCTGTCTTTCTCCTCTCTCTCTCTCTCTCTCTCTCTCTCTCTCTTTCTCTCACTGTAATTATACATGTTATCATGACTAGTAGGCTTTACAGGCTTGAAGTTGCATGAGATCTGAATATGGGTAATTATGGGTATATATTAATCATGAAATTACAATAAAGAAATTTTAAAGCCTAAAAGAACTAGTAATTATTACCTTCAAAAGATACAAAATCACAGTGTAAAGATAAAATGGAAAAAAAAATGTACAACAATTGATCAATTATAATGCACCCTAAAAGGGAAGGTAGAAGATCTTTAACAATGCCAAATAGATGGCAAATTGGCAATGCCAGAATAAAAATGGTATATGTACTCTGTAGTTAAATAGAGATTCCCTATCGCATGCCATGAATCAGGAGAAGATTAAGCAGCCATTATAAGGATGACAAAAGTTAAACATAATAATGAGATCAATTTTGTAATGAAGAAGATCTAGACTACAACAGTGACAGTAAACCCTGGGTGTAAAGATTCATTATCACAACAAATGTCTATGTTATTTCTTTGAACATGCAGGATGTGCAAAATATTATAGCGGGAGAGGCAATATTATTCATTAGATATATATTTTTTTACTCAATTTTTATGAAATTATAGTGTTTTTGCATTAAAATAAATTTCTTTTTAAAAGATAGAAGTAAATACTTTATCGATGATAGTGTCAAAATACCATCTTGATAAGAGTTAGATGCTTCCTTTTCGACAAAGAGATTTCAGGTTCAAATCCTTCCTTAAAATTAAGTATTTAAAAAAGAAAAGAAAGTAGACGTGGTTTCAAAGTCGTTGTGTGCACTGGTAGTTTGTGCTAAGTTGCTTAGCTACTTGTTGACATACATAGATGTAAATGGATGATAGAGAAGACGCTATGCAACGTATAGACCGTAGGGGTTTTACTCCTGAGTGCTTTTGTAGTATGAATTCTATGCAATGTGCAGCTACTAAAACAGTGTATTTTACTCATTTCATGTTGACAAGGATCTCGCTTTTAATTTGTCACTATGTAGAAAACCAACAGACTTTCTTACAAAGTAGAGAAAAATTTCCAAGGCAATGATTTCAGCTCTGAATGACTAAAAGAATGCATAATTATACAGTTACATACTTTGGGCTTTTGCATATCATGTTTTTTGTAAAATCATCGGGGACTGAAGGGAGAATAATGTGCAATATGTGCTGAGTCAAAAGCGTGCTTAATGTCCTCAATTTGCATTAGAAATTTCAGCCCCGCGTTAGTGCTGAATCATGTCTTATTGTCCAGGGGCTGTTGTTTTTTCAACTGTTTATTATGATCATTTTTGACTTTAACTTCTCACAGAAAACCTGGTTTACTTGAGAGGAAGGATGGGTCAATACTTAATAGGAGAAAACACTTAAAATATTCTTCAGTCCGCAAAGCCTTGTTAGACTATACGTCTATATATCCAAACTAAATAAAAGGTCATATGTATATTTTTCATACTATTAAGAACTAAACCTAAGATCTTTTCTCTTCTGACATGGAGATATAAGCTTGGAATTCATATTTTGATGGTAAATGTCAATATTTTTAGGCTATTTCTTGACTTCATTCACTCCAAAAACCCAATTCCCATGAGTTAAAATTAATAGTTCTTTTGCTTTTTAAACATTTACTTCAAGAATGATTTTCCATTGGTAATCATTGGTTCATGAAGGGGTTTTTTTTTCCTTTTACTGGATAAGTTACATTGAGGATTTTGAGTGTGTTATAATGTAATTAGACCCTTGTTACGTACAAAGGTTTAAATCTTTTAACTTTGATCTATATTTGCTAGTTAGAACCATTCTGGTAATCATTTGCTTAATTAGGTTTATTTCCTTTCTTTTTGGTTATAGAAAAGAGCTAACAATATGGTAAAGGATTGAAGGGGATCCTAGTTAAATTAACATTTTCTTTTCAAAGGGTTGGTTTTTTGAAGAAGAAAAAAAAAGAATTAAAATAAATTGCTATAATGGTTTTTTCGTGGCAAAACAGTTTTAGAAGTTGTCTGCATTCAAGACAGTATGTGAGGGCCAATTTAAGTATTTTGCATTCATCGTCACCAATTAAAGTTCTTAGTTAGTATATATATATTTACATTCTAATATTATCAGTAATGTATTTCCCCAAAGAAAATAATGAGGAATGGAGCTAGTAGGGCCCTTCGCTATATGTTACATGTGAGAGGACGCCTCCTAATCCAAATTGTAGCCCCCATTTGGTAATCATAACTAAGGACTTATTGTTGCTTTGATTAATTTGATTATTATGAAACACAGTGACCATGTCCACCTTCATGCGGCCTTCAGATTCTCACAAAGAATGCCTTGGTTTTCACTTTATTTACCCATACTTATTGATTTCTCTGTTACATGATCTCTCCTCTTTCTTTTTTTTCACTTTTTTCTCTTTATTTTATCCATTCTCTACTTAGCTATTATGAAATTAATGATTTGTTATATGATCTGACACTTCCAAAGATAGACCCTTTTTCTTTTTCTTTCTTTCTTTCTTTTTTTTTTTTTGGATTCTATTTATTTGGAGTTTTTCTAGCGGCCTTGCAGCATTAGTGGTAAACTTTTGGCATGTTCAGGAGATGATTTCTAATATTTAGATTATGAATTTGCTTTTACAAAGAATACAATGCTTTGCACTGTTTCATCAATGATAACCTCATGCATGGCCATTTGTTAATTTCTGCCTGTTTCTAGTTCATTTTGCAGCATCTACGAGCCTGGATGAATGAACAGTGGTGATCACATTTCTCTTATTTATAGATATTTCTTGCAGTTTTGCTTTATCAGAATAAGATGCTATAATTAAATATATATAGGTGAAAAAACAAGCCCCTGGCATTTGTATATCTATAGCAGACAGCTCTCTCCTCCATGTGCTGCATTCACATGTTATGTCATGAACAACACTTATTTCACATGCAACTGAACCTCACTCATCACCCCATTTCGTTAGCAAGAAACAAATTACTAAATTTGCTTGGGGAAAATGTATACAAAATGCAGGAGCTACTATCGATGTACGCAAGATAATTGCCGGGTAAAGAAACGAGTGGAGAGATTAGCTGAGGATCCGAGGATGGTAATAACAACATACGAAGGGAGACACGTACATTCCCCGTCACACGACCTGGAAGACTCGCAAGCGTCATCTCAGCTGAACAATTTCTTCTGGTAGCTAGCAGCATACCTACTTAACCAAATCATATATATAATTTATGTGCTTAATTCTCCAATCTGGTTTGTGTAATGAACTTTGTTGTCTTTGATAGTTTTTGGGTACTTAGATAAAAAACATTCAAAATAAAACTTGAAAGGGGTGATGTTTGTACATGGTCGCAATTCTCAATTAGGCCCCTCCCCCCCTTATGCTCTTATAAATATGTCTACTATGATGAACAATACCCTTCTTCTTCTTCTTTTTTTTTCCTCCCTCTTTGTAAATTTTGTAGAATATATAGAGTAGTATGTCTTGTCTAAGTTCCCCAATGTTTTGAATTATTAGGTCTATATATTAATAAAATAATGAGTTTCTTTTTCTTCGTGAATTGAGTGGAATTTGTTGGTCACCTAACAAGAAGCTAAGCTAGGGTGGAAGAATTTATCCACTCGGGAAGAAACATCAATCGTTTTTTGTTGTGTTCTGCCTCTTTTGCATGTCTTGAAATGATTGCTTTGTGTTGCTTAAAAATAAGAATTTCCAAGATGAAACAGACGATTAGGACATAGCAGGGAAACTAATGACTGGAAACAGAAACCTTGCACGTGACCATTCATCAACAATAATAACATTAAGCCGTGTAATAACAGTTCTCATCACCTTTTTCCTTGTACCACAGCCTTTTCCCTGCTTTTTCTGGATAATAAAATTCTTGTTTATTCATAAACATTAATAACTTATTTCAAAAAAGGATATTTTGATTTTTTTTTGTTTTAAAATGATATTTTTTTCTTTTTTATTGTTTACAACTTTAATCAATAGGTTTGAAAAAATGAAATCCAATTCTACATCACGTATTATATTACATTATATATCAAATAGACACTGTAAAAGAAAAATATTTTTTATATCATTCTACAAATTCAAACATACTCTTTTAAAAAAAAAATTGATCCGCTTATCTTTCTTCCGAAAATTTTGATCTAAACAATATATATAAAGGAGAGTAAAGATTCAAATTTTTAACTTAATTTTTTCAAACAAATAATAACCGTTAAGTCAAATATGAATCCTAAAATTTTTATCAAACAATATATTTTCTATTCTACTTCTCTATCTATAATTACTTAAGCTAACCTCGAGTGGCAATGATCTTGATTTCCAAATTGGCATAAAAACGGAGAACTTTGATTCCTAGCTCAAGATGTTAGGGATGAGCTTGATTCTCCGGCCGAAATTGTTACCACCAATTATATAACAATAATTCGTATTGTCATATTTCTAAAAATAATAATAATGTATGTTGTATAAATTGAAGATTACTATATCATAATGAAGTTTGTTCAAATTGTTCATCTTTTACCATAAAATTCCATTGTTTCTGGTATCAAAGTTGACATTGTTTTCCTGTTGATTATCATTGCTATATCCAAAGCTTTGAAGATGCTTTATTTGATATTTCCATTAAAAAATGAAAAAGAAACTTTCGTGGGCTTTAAACAGACCACACCAAATTTGGAAATTGACCCTTTCCTGCAGGCCTAAAGCCTCCAAATTTTCAACCACAAAGCAAAATCAAGAACGCTATGATTGTCTTTACAAGCCCATATATGAACAATTACAAGTATTTAATTCTTTTTCTTCAATTTTGAGAGAGAAAACTACAAATAGAAGAGACACCTTGAAGAATGCTTATTCTTATGAATAATATTTGTTTTCCTTTTTGTTCTTTTTGGCAACCCACAGAAGGGAAAACATAATTATTATATCATCCTGAAAAAGAATGATGCAATCATAATCTAAAGTACAAAATATTGAATGGTTTTTGCATCTTGGTAATTGTTTTTTTTAGTGATGATAATGATAATGAAGAGAAATCATTACAAGCATCAGAAATGTGACATCATGATCTGATGTATTCAATTTCAGTGAACTGAAAAGAAAAGCAGGCTGAAGCCCCTCAGGCCTTTTTTGACTATTCATTGTATTATTGGTATGTATTTTGTTGTTTTTTTCCAGTTTTTTGTCCCTGTATTTTTGTTTGTTTGTACACAATTAGCAAAAAAAAAAATGAAACCATTTTTCATGTAATGGGTCTTGATTCTTGATGTTAATTTTGTTTTTATTTTTTCTGTGAAAGGAATACTGGGATAGGGGAAGGGATTGATTGGATTCCAAATGAAAGGCTATAGTTTTTGAATTCACTGCTCATTTGCAAGTTGAATGTTTCATTGGAATTTCACTTGTGGATTTCTTATTTAATAAGTTAGGAAAAAACGCATTTGATAATCTAATTTTTTTATTAGTATATGATTTTTTTATTTAAAAAATAAAATCAAATCTCTTTTCTCAAATATATATAAAAAAAGGAAAAGGCAAATCAATTATCAAATTCCCATACCCGGAAGAGATATAATGCTTGGGCTGGGTTGGGTTATAAGATTTGGGTAAAGAATTTCGGATCAAGTCTCAATACATACCTTCTACCCAAGCAGAAACTAAGAATTTAGTCTTCTGAAGATGGTTATGTTGTATCAATCCCTATTCAAAATTGGATTCCAATCCTCTTCCTCTAAAAATTGTTGGGTTTGTCAAGTTACTAATTAACTATTATATGTAGGATTGAGAATCTTGAAACGTATAACAAGTTCATTCATGCATGTGTGTTTGTAGAATTATTTTATTTTTTATGTATGTGAATATTAAAAATTATGGGCACATGAATGTTTCGAGGTAAAAATAAATACCACTACAAGAAAGTACTAATTTACTGGGACTTATTCTAAATAATGTATGGCTGTTTTCAAAGAAGATATGGGCATAGCTGCAGAAATACGAGATATGGCTGTAGACAAAATCTTCATTAGGAGACAGTAATGAAGGGTTAAACTTCACCTGTTTTTGTACCCAGAATCTAAAACATTGCTGGTTTTGCTCTCAAACCCCTAGGAAATTCATTCCCTGACCAGGAAAGTTTGCCTAAATAAAACGTGTACCAAAGGACTTTTGCTTCTGGTGATGTGGGAATTCTCTGCAATTATTTTACTATTTCTCATGCACCATCTAAGATTTTTATATAGTAAATGAATTTCTCTTACAAGTTTCTTCTCAACATTTACATATTAAAATTATCTTCACAAAATATTCGACGTTTATTCAATGATATATACATGTATTTTTTTTATTAAAAAATCAGGAAAAAAAAATTTCTTTGTTGCACCAAGCTCTATATCCATAAGGTGCTTGAAACTTGGCTGAATTAAAATCTAAATCAAATTTGTTTTGTAAGAAGCCTTTTCTTTTAAGTTTAATGAACAAAGTCAATGTTGATTATGAAAACTTGTTTAAAAAATGATTGGGTTCATTTACATTCATGAACAAAACTTGCAACAAGGCAAGCGACTTGTTTTTTAGCTTGTACCTTACAATTAAGCTCATTAGGCGTTTATTTATTTGTTAAAATGGTTTTATTTAAAATGTTAAACATATACTTGTGATAATAACTTTGAGTTTTTGTTCATTTTCAAATTATAATTTAAACTTATTGAAAGTGAAGATTATTTGACGTTTTATTTGACCATATTATGCGTAAAAATTTTCTAGTGAAATTTGAATAATATAATTATATGGCTTAATTTTGTAAGATAAATAACCTCAAACTTATATTCTTGTATCATCCCAACATGAATCCAAGGGTTTTCTTAATTATCTTTTTGTTCATTAATTTTTAATATAATAACAATCATCATTTACGTTTACGGAAACTTACAATTAATAATGGAATTTCACACATATTCACTCTGTTGATCCTAATGGTAATGAGTAATGAACTATCAAAAATACCCCGTGCTTATAGCACGAAATACAAGACAAAATTTGACTAAGTATCGTATTTTGAGGAAAACAGTAGCACGTGAGGGCCTGCTAATTTCAAAGGTAATCTTACGAGTTTCATTTAACCCCATACATTTATTTATTTATAAAGCAATTTTTTAACTCACTCCCTCCCAAAAACGGGATTAAGGAATTAATTAAATGAAGATTACAATAAATTAAAAATCAAGTCATGAAAAGATGGGTTCTTACTCCTTACCTCGCAAGGGGCAGAGCCAGGCTAGACAGGGACCTTCCTCGAATATGCACCCCCCCGGGGAGGTCGTCCACCACGTGCTCCCTCGTGATCCGCACGTTCAAACCCTTATTTCAAGGACTTACCCTAATTTTTATTTTTAAAAAATTATTTGTATATTAACGCACCCATACATTATTATTATATATAACAATGATAAATTTTGGACCTACTAGTTTACGACAAACTCATAGGAAGTCTTGATTACTAATTTTGAGATTCAGATATCTAGCATGGTTTAAATTCTAGAGAACAATCTCTTTGGAGTGTCTTTCATATTTCTTCTCCTTATTCATTGAATTAATTATAGAAATTGGGAACCAAGAGAAAGCTAGCATTCTTACCTTAATCAGTTTATACTTCTTTTGTCTCGTATATGTTCCTTATTAATTTAAGTTGTAATTGTAGGTAGTAGTTAATAATTTCAATTAGGCGTCCAAAAAAAAAGGAACTAGTTGAAGTAAATTAAGATTAAATCTTGTCGAGTAAATCGAGCGCGTGGAGAAAGAGAACAATGGAGTGCGATGAGGAAGTTGTTGAGAAACGTAATCGAAAACCAAAAAGGGGTGAAATCAGGGCCGTCGCTTTTGTTAGACTGTGGCATCATCGTGGTTATCCAGAGGGCAAAGGGGGAACGGGAGGGCGCGGATGAGTGGGGACCAACGCCTGGGTAAGCGCACGTGGACAGATCCACCCACTGACCTTGCTTTGCTTCGCTGAGAGAGAAAGAGGTTTTGTTCAATTATTTCTTCTGCCCCACTTGCCCCCATACATTGCCCCAATGTTGTCTGCTGCCCGAGACTTATCCGGTCAGCTTCCCACGTGTGTTGATCGAGCGATTATTTTGTCGATACTTGCCTCATCGGAGAACTAGACCTATTTTCTTTCTTAAAAAAAATTGTGTTCTTTATGAAATAATTAGTGTGGAATCCTCTCTTTGCACCACGTTAATTATTTTGGATTATTGTAATTATTCTTATTTATTAATAAGTAATTATGAGTTTAAATTTCATTATAATTTATCTAAGCTAAAAATTCTCGAAAATTATAAAAGTTCCTAAAAATCTTATATGCCTATAATTTTAATCTGATTTTAGACAAGTCTAAAATATAATTTTGTTCACTCAAAGGTTAAAAATAAATTTTTATATTATCTTTTGTTAAATTAAAAAATCAAAGTTACATGATTTTCACTAATTAATAATTAAATTATCAATAATATTTTTTAATTACAC